TTATTCCGCACATCTTGCGGCTCCGGAGCCGAGAACGTGAAAGGCGATACGCTTAATGTGCGACCACCGTGACATCATGACCCCCCTCCCCCCCCCTCGCAATTGTTAGCCTGGTGACTTCAAAGCAAGGTCCGTGCTCCCGCGGATGTGAATATTGTTGTTGTTGTTATTAGGATTGAGTTGCTACGGCCCGCCCGCCCGATGGTGGGGGGGGGGGGGACCCGTATCACTGCACGTTCCGTTGCTCGTCTATCGCTCGAAGTTCTGTGTCGCTTGTACCGGCTGAGCAGTTGCAGCTCGCTAGCCCGCCTGCCCGCCCACCCGCCCGCGGCCGCTCTTCGTAGTGCGCCGTGCCGTGCCGTCCGGCTCCGGAGGTGGGCTTGCTCGCCTGGTACGGAGGAGGTGCGTGGGTTCGATCCCAGACACTGACGCCTGCTGCTGTAGATTTGGAGTCTTGCGTGTGTCTCTCTCTCTCTCTCACCCCGTGGTCGTGTGGATTTTTCTCCGGGTCCTCCGGTTTTTCCCTCCACGTTTGAAATCAACATCACCACGCGTTTAGAGTATTTGGCTGCTTATAAATTTTCCGCACGATGATAAGCCACTTCGTTTTGCTATCATCTGTGGTCAGGTCGCTTCTGAAAAAATTGCTAAATAGCTCGGTGGGCCTTACCTGGTAAAAAAATGTTTTTAAATAGTTTATAGATTAAGCTTTGGTGGGACGTTTTGACAAGCAGGCGTCTTATGACAGCTTCGGTACGACCCACAAAATGTTCCGTTGCGTGCTCTCCGCCCCGTCGCAAACGATGTGTTGATCATTATTTTTTTTCTTTGTTTTGTTATTAAACAGATTTACGAGCAGAGACCACAAGGCGACAAAAAATGTCAAGCGGCCGGCAATGAGCGGCATGGTCCAAGTGATGATAAATAATTATAGATTTGAAGTTTTCGTGACTGCAATGATCCATACTCTTTCGGTAAAGTCACGTAGGTAAAAATAAAAATAAAGTTAATACTCACCACAGCAATTTTGCTGTGACTGTTGCCACCTGATGACGGAGTCTTGGTGCTGCCTCCGAAACGTCGTGATTTGATTAACTTTATTTTTACCTATGTGACTTTACCGAAAGAACCAAAGAGTATGGTGATAAATAAGTCGGCACGTTCACAGAGTTGAGCAAGGTTGGTTTTTATTACAAGAGCTTGGGAAAAGAGACGATGATGATGATGATGGGAGGAGGGAGTTCCAGAGTGGAGCAGTGCGAGAGAAGAAGCAGAAAGAGAAGTGTTTTGACCCGCGGTGTCGTGGTGGTTAAACAAAGTGCAGTATACAGGAGACGATGCAGTAATGAGACCGTATAGATGAGACGCTTCAAACTCTCTTGTGAGCATTGTTGCTCAGAGCAATGCTGCTGTGCTTACACAATGTTTTGAAAGATAAAATCACATCTGCTCATGATTGTGGCTACGAAGAGTCCCAATTCTCAAAAGCAGGTCATTGTGGGCAGTGTGACATGGCCCATTGGTGGAGCGGTTCGACCCCCACGGCCGCCCTGGTTAATGCCGCGGGCGTACGTCTGCTTTACAGGCGACGTTAAAGATCTCATGGCGCTGTTTGAAAAAGGGTCGGCCATGTGTGGTCCAAATCTGTCAAATTTGAGCAATTACAGTACAATTACAGTACAATTACAGTACTCGCAAATTACTCAATTGGGAAGCCTCGTAGCACCATTGGCCCCTGCTGGTCACCGAATGCCCACTTGCAGGCCAGGTGCTGTGTTCACCCTGTGCCACATCGGGACGATAGCTGCCACGGTGCGGGAGGGGGGTGGGGTTTCTCTTGTCATCGGGTTCACGGAGATACAAATGGGAGGCGCGGTATGAATATTACGATCGTGTGTTCGTGTCATTATCAGATTGCAAACACCTCTGGTTGATCCTGCGCATTATAATAAGAATTATGGTAATTAATAGCCTGTGTCAATCAACTGCTGGATGAAGGCCTCCCCATGCCTGTGGGAGTTGTTTGACCATACTTCAGCAGGCTTAAAAAAAATACACGTTGGTGAGCGAAGCCACTGATGTTAGCTTTGGCCGGGAATCAAACCTCAGGTCATTGGGTTCGTAGCACAGCGGGCTACCCACTTTGCCTGCCCCCGCCGCAACACAGTATGTTTACAAAAGGTAATTGTTGACGTTTAATGAACACATTAAATCGTGAGCACGTGAGCAAGCAATTAAAATCCTTGCCCAAATCTACAAATCATGCCAGTCGAAGAAAATATACGTAATAATTGTTTTTATCGTTCCGTAATTTTTTCCGTACGAAGACGCGAGCGAGGGGTGGGGAAAATTTCGGACCGAACTCACTCTTCGCCCCAGCTCACTTTGCTACATAATACAGCCCATAATTTTATAATGAGCGTAATTTCCCCGGCGGAGCTATAATTAGACGTCGAGAGCGAGAAGAGCGTTACGTAATGTCCTCTGGCCCTCGCCGCGCACCGCGTCGAAGACTCACGGTAGGAGCGACACGCTCAGGCGTGCACAGACGATAACCACAACGCCTCTCGGAAAAGACGAGAGCTACGTGCCTATTCTTAGCTCTTTCGGTAAAGTCACGTTGAAGGGAAACAATTAAAATAATAAAATATATATAAAACAATACAAATTCTCACGACGTTTCGACCATGTCACAAACGGTCGTCATCATTGTGTTATGGTCGAAACGTCGTGAGAATTTGTGTTGTTTTATATATATTTTATTCTTTTAATTGTTTCCCTTCAACGTGACTTTACCGAAAGAGCTAAGAATATGAATTACTGCAGTCACGAAAGCTTTAAATCAAAATTTAGCTACGTGCCTCTTGCACCGCAAGGGATCGTTTACCACTACTACTACGACGAGCCAACTGTTTATTTGAACGTGTCACGCCGGGACATCGATCGCTTGTCCCACAGCTCCCAAGGTTACCGAAAAATAAAAATCCTCTATTTTTTTTTTTTTACCGAAACACATCAAGGAGGGCGGGTTGCTTGATCGAGATGATGGAATAGGGGAGTCGGTGTCCAGCAGTTTTTTGTTCTTTCTCCCAACTCATTTGATGTATCGCAGACTTCGAAGCGAGAAATGTAAGTGGATGAAGTTGTAAATGTTTACAACTTCGTAAGCTATGTTTAATTTCTAGGGCTTTCAGATGATAGACTTAAACAGTTTCTCCATGATGATGGTGACGGTTATATGATGGTTGCGGCGGTTGTGTTGATAACGGATAAAATATGAAGCTGATGGGAAAAGGTAAACTTGGAAATGTAATTCCTCATAAAACGTTATACCATTTTTACCATCGGTGAGAGTCTATTTTTATGGTCCCTGCTCTAGTTAAAGTTACAGCACAGTGCCAATAAAGAGCACCGCTCTGTTATGTACCGGATTCTGTCTGGCAGAGTTCACGCACTTGTTAGAAAGTATAGGATTTTTTTTACAAGATGAAAATAAAAACCTGTTTTAGCGGTAACTGTGAAGAAATTCACTTTCCCAGATTTTTTTTCAGTTGCACTACAAGCAACTGTATCATGAAACAAGGGGTCCAAATCACGTGCAAGGGGTCCAACTCACTCCTAACTCTATCCCGAATGTGTTATCGGTGTCAAGCACACCCCGTGCGGAAGAGAACGGTCTGTGGAAGTTGATTTCATAGACCCGCTGCTGATCTCCCTTCAAGCGACCATTTTTCAGCAAGGGACACTTTCCGCACACCCTCCTACAGAGAAATCTTTTCACCTGGCAATTAAATTGCTTTATATTTATTTCTCAGAGGTGGAATTTAACCAAATGAAGCCAACGATCTAATTTCGTGTTACGGGGGGCGGTGGGGGGTGTGTGAAGTCACTGGTGACCGGCCTGAGATCATCAACTCGCTACACTTGAGATCCCGATTTAATCACTGGCTTGCTAGAGCCAACATTCGAATGCAGGATATCAGCAGCTGCCGGCTCAGTACTCTGAGCCTTGAGCTACGCGGCCACTTTCAGCAAATAGCTTTTTTAAAGTGACCTCACTGATTCTGCAGGCATGCTGGCAGATAGACTCAGCTGTGACGTTAGGGAGCAGTTCATTCTGTTGAATTGGCTGCAGGCAGATACAAGTTAAATTATTATTTTTTCCCGCACCCCCCCCGCCCCCCCCAACGATATTGTAAATCACATTTTTCGTGATAACGTTAAGTTGTTACGATTTGCTTTTCGAGCCCAATGTTTTACACGCCAACAAAAATACCGTTGGTTGCCTTCAATATTCTGTCAAATTTAATTCTACTGGGAAAAAACTAGAACGATTTGACGGTGAGTCTTGCGAAGCCCCATATTTCATACCGCCGTTATATAATACCGCATTATGTTGGCCTTTAGCGCGCGTTAAAAAGATAAAGTAACATTAATATTGCAAAGTCTACATTCTTTTGATGTCCAAATCTCTCTCTCTCTGAAACCCCTCAACATGTGTTTCTTCTAAATGTGTTACAGGATCAAACAAGATGAAACATAAAAAACAAAAACTCCTAGGAATACTTTTCAAACGGGCGTGTCGTGTGCGTGTCGTGTGCGTGCGTTTGAAGGTTATTTATACTTAGCGTAATTTCAGCATCGTCCGACTTTGGGCTGCTCCGTTTTATTTCTATCGTGAAATATCTTGAGACCAGACGCCCTAAATTGCCCCTCCCGTAACGCAGAGTGGCAGAGCGCCGTGCAAAAGAAATAAACTGACTAATGGAGTGTGCGCTGGGCTTTCACCTCATCCTGCAGCTAAGTGCCCCGAAGCCGTGCCATATACGGCTGTTTGTTAATCGAGCGGTTGAAACTACATTAGGTGGATAATCGCATCGGCATGAGTCATACGTTTGCCGTTACGGAGCGCTGCGTCTAATTGTGCATTTTTGTAGATGTGCTCTGGGCGAGGACGTTCTTTTCAGAGTAGTTTTTTTTCTGTTCGCCCCTTTCTCCAGAAGGTTCCGAGGCCCGAAGTGGCGGTGCCCGTAATCGCCACTGAAGAGGAGCCCAAGAAGAAGCGCAAGAGAAAGAGAAAGGTGATCTTTCACGAAACACTCAGGCGGCATTCCATGCCGTCCTTTCCATTGCCCACCGCGCATCATCCTCTGCTTGCAAATTGACCCTCTGCGTGACTCGGTGAGTCCCACGATAGGCATGTAATGACTCATACACCACGTGGTTCAATGAATTGGCACACTTTCAGGGTCACGTTTCCGTGTAGGAATCAACTTTCTTTCGTCTCCTTTGTTCTGTCTCGTTCGTATAGACTATATTGTAGTTGTACAGTCTGTCCCGTTCATTTCCTCATCCTAAAGGTAAAATTTGCACATTTAATTAGGCCATGGATTGCTATGCGCTTTCCCAATTTGAGTACATTGCGAGTAACTTTTTAAATTTGGCAAGTTTGGACCGTGAAACTGGCACACATGGCCTGATTTTTTTATGTTGGAATAACATCACAAGATTTTTGACATCAACAGTGAAGCAGACTGCATCTATTTCATGATCTTTACAGTTTCAGTATTAACCAGGGTGGCCTCGCTATCACGAACCGTGCAATTCTGCAGCAAGTGGCGAAATGTGCTACCGCTCGAACCAAGTCACTGGGCTCGACACACTCATGTAATTTGCAAGAAATTCGAAAAATAACGTATCCCCTTACGAACCGGATAAAAACAAAAGTATCGTGGCCGTAATAATTAATTTTAACGAATGAATCTATTAATTTGTTACATGGCTTGGCGTTGGTTAAAGACAGGGTAGTAAACATCGTTCACCCAACGTCAATCCCTGAAGCTAAACAATCATTGAAACCAATTAGTATGGGGAAAAAACAACAGCGATTGAGCAGCAAAACATTAATTGAAACATCATTATTTATTTTAAACATTTTTTGGGAGGGGGGGATGTTTTTACTTGTGATTAGCATGGTTGGCTACGTACGGTGCGAAAGAAGTTCATCATACATACATCTTTGTTGATGAGTCGCAGCAGTGAAATGGCTACTCAGGCCCACCAGTGCCCTGCCCCCATTCCTAATACCCAAGGTAGAGGAGCAGGCCTGCAATTTCTTGCGAATTTCACTACTTAATAATTATTAAAAATGTATTATTTGAATTATAATTTAATTCAGGGCCTCCACTAGAGAGAGCTCTGTCAAGTTTCCACTCCTCCCTCAAAACCCAACTCTTTTTCCTGGCCCATCCTTCTCTCCATCCTTCCCTCCATCCCAAGGCACCCCCATAATTCTGGTACCCATTAACCGCCCTCCCTATATCCCATATCGCTTTTAATTACCCCAATTGTACCACTCCTAACCCTTGTAATGCGCCTTGGATAAAGTACGTAATAAATATAAGACAAGATGGTATTGGACAACTCTTCCACACTGGACACACATCTTGGAAGAGGTTGGAGTAACCCACACTTTAATCTGCCATGCAACCCCTGCTTGAGCGACTCACTGGGTGGTGGGCAGAGGTGAGAGGATTTAATAAAGTCGCACCATTGTTTCATCTGTGAAAAAGAGCTTCATAGCTCATCGGATTCCTCCAGTCTAAAATAAAAGGGTCTGATTCTAATCTCCTGCGCTGGGAGATGAAATCTCACCGAGGACCCTCTGGATTGCAAGTGCAGATCACGAAACCATTAAAACAGCGTCGCTGTTCATATACGTATTGAAAACATAATAAGAAAAAGTTTTCAAAATCAATCTAAATTACAAAATAAACGTTGGATCGTATACAGTTACCGAGCACTTACTTCCAGTCACACAAGTACGCTTTGAAGCATAGAGGGTTTCACGTTTGTTAGAAAATAAAAAGCCCACATGAAATTAATAATTAATTCACCTCGGCTCCAATTACACACCGGGCTCGCACGTGAAAATTACCACGTGGGTGAGAACGGCCGCTTGTTCGCAGTGAGGATCTGCGACCGTTTTGAATAATTATTTTTGTTTTAAACCCAATGGATCGCGTCGCCAATCTGCAGGCAATATGAGGCCTTTGGCTGCGCATTCAGATACCAACAATACCCCCCCTCTATTGAAGCAAACCCGGGATGGAGTATTTGGAAAGCCTGTTGTAGATTATACCCACCGGGGAAACAACAATTGGTTTCGGGTATGCGATTCTAGATCAGCCCGGGGCAAATACCGGTGAAGGCGAATTTAAAGAAACTCGAGTTTTAATTTTTTTTTCAAGGAAAGTTCTGGCGGATGCCCGTCGTAGTAGTGACTCGACATTACGCGGTTTGGTTAGACCAGGAGGTCGCCATCCTGCGTGTCCGGAGCCGCATGCGGTGGCTCTTTAAGGACCCATGCTCCGTGACTCGTTATTCACGACGTGCATTGCGGCTCTTGAAATTCTGAGGGGTTTATTTTTTTTGTGGCTGAATTCGAAGAAAAAAAATCTCTCCTTGTTATTTTGGTAGCCGACCCCTGGGTCAGACGGCGCGGCGTCTCACGAGTAACTTCGCTATTTTCTCATGAAGGCACAACACCTCTGCTGTTGCCTAAACCGCATCTCCGTATGGTAGAAACGTGCATTGAGATTATTTAGATTATTTTGCTGCTATAAATGCCCAAATGACAATCCACTTTGTTGCAGAGCTATCATTTGTGACCAGGTCGCATCTGAAAAATAAGTTAATATCTCATTGGGGTTTGCCTGGTAGCATGGGGATGGTTTAGTGTTGTAGTTGTATGGTTTAGTGTTGTAGTTGTATGGTTTAGTGTTGTATTTGTATGGTTTAGTGTTGTATTTGTATGGTTTAGTGTTGTATTTGTATGGTTTAGTGTTGTATTTGTATGGTTTAGTGTTGTATTTGTATGGTTTAGTGTTGTAGTTGTATGGTTTAGTGTTGTATTTGTATGGTTTAGTGTTGTATTTGTATGGTTTAGTGTTGTATTTGTATGGTTTAGTGTTGTATTTGTATGGTTTAGTGTTGTATTTGTATGGTTTAGTGTTGTATTTGTTTGTGTTTGGGTGATTTGTTGACCTTTCTAGTACTTTGCACTTCTATCGTGTTTCGTATTGCTCGTTGTTGTAACGTTCTTATCCGCCCCTACTGGACATCTGTGCAAAAGAGCTTCATAGCTCATCGGATATCTCCAGTATAAATACAGATTCTGATTTTGGCATACATCATCTGCGGACCACAGAGTCACGATCGGTGTCGTCAGCGCAATTTTGTGGTTTCGAGTCCACTGAGACTGTCTCGCAGGGACCACCTGTCTCGCCAGTGGGTTTTGAGCCCTGGGACGCTGCCGTGGTTATAATGTTCAGCGCTCTGGACTTGCGATCCCCCCCCCCCCCACTCTGTGGCTGCCCAGCAGTATGAATGGAGTAGGTCGCAGATAGTCGATCAGCAGGTTATGTGTGATGGGGTAAAGTGTGGGCACTCCAACCTCTTTCAAAACCCAGCTTGAAAGAGTAGGCCCAACATTTTCTTGAGAAAGTCTCGATGGGGATCTCTCCACTGCAGGCCCCTCCACCTTCTTTGGAGGGCTGCGTCTTTGCCTATTTAGACTGCTGCGAATATAAACAGCATCGAAACCTATGATCCCTGCCTTTATGGCCATAAAGTCAACAGCGGAGGCTCTCTAAGCAAGTGGATTGTGTTAGTCACAGGGACTGTTTTTATCCTCTTCCAAGTTTCAAGTTTTCAAGTTTAATATATTAGATATTGCCCTGTGAGCCATGCGGCTCTTAAGTCGGGTGCAACCGCAACAAACAAAATTTGAACACAGAACATCCCAAAGCGACGACGCGCAACAGAAACATCCTGGAATAAACCAGCAAATATTCCACACAAAAAAAACGTATTAAAACGCTGTGTGCAAAAATCACAACGTGGTGCAAGCCAACAACAACAACCATAAGACAATTTAGATTAACCATATGTTTTCGAATCACCAAAATAAAGCTATAAAAAACAATGTAACAGTAATCCAGACTCCCAACAGCTGAGCCCTTGATCCTTGTATGCGTGGTTTACCTCCGTGTGGAATAAATGTCAACAGGTGACATCTCCAGAGCTGTTGTGCGTGGTTATGTAACTGGAGGGGGTGGTGGGTTGTGTTGTTTTTTTACGACATGTTTAATCGCAATGGGCCTCCCACCACTTGGGATGTGCTGTTGTTATTCTGCCGATTAAGACGCAGTGCTCGCCTGCCATGAGTTTGTGTGGCCCAGCTCCACCCCAGAGCCTCTCTCGATGTTCCACTACTGCCTTGTGTCAGCAGTTGCAATCTGCCTGACAACATTGCTCGTTATAATCAGAATCAGACTATTTATACTGGAGGAATCCGATAAGCTATGAAGCTCTTTTTTTACAAATGTCCAGTAAATGGCAGGTCAGAAAGTTACAACCAACAGTAGAAAAACATGATGGGAGTGCAGTACAAGAAAGATAAACAAATCACCTTCACATACAAATAAAATAAAACTAAACTATGTTTACCTTACCAGGTAAAGCCCACTGAGCGACCTGGTCACAATTGACAACAAAGTGGCTATTCAGACCAGATCACCCCAAATGTACCCGATATTGTCAGGTCTCAGAAGCTAAGCAGGAATGACTCCAGCTAGTACTTGGATGGGAAACTGCCTGTAGACTTGGGGTAACCGAGGTAGCCAGGAGATGGCAGTTTAGCATTGGTTCATTGAATGCATCTGTGCAGAGCTTTTAGTATTTCCCAAGTACTTGGTTTACTTTCACATGCCGAACTCTTAATGGAATTGACCAAACATTCTAATGCTTGACCCTCATGAAAGAGCATCGTGAGACTCATTGAAGGCTTTCCTTTGTATATAAAGAAGATTATTATTACGTATATGACCTTTTCAAAATTGTAACCAACACAGCTATACATTTTAGATATACACTACTGTATATGTTAAAACATAATTATTATAATTGGACTGCTTGTCAAAAAAATGGCTTCACATTTTTCCATAATTATCTTCAGTCCCGTGTTTTTACTGCCTATGTGTGTACATTAGTAACACACATTTACATTAGTTCATGTTTGTTTAAAAAAATAATTATAGCAATGCACCAACTCCTTCAAAGAAATCCTACAAGACTCATTAATTTTCATTACGCCCACATAAAAAACACACAATCAAGAATTCTAGTAACCCCTTTCGTGCCCATTAGGAGAAATGTGTATACTCTATATCTATGCAACTTGGTAGTGAATGCAAGTGCACTATTATCATTCAAAGGATGATCAAACTGTGGAGTGTGTTTTCTCGGGTGTGCAAGTTAATCCAGAGTTACAGTGAGGAGGAGGGGGAGCCATCTGGTTCCTTAAAACTGAAGGCAACTTGTAAACAAAATGGCGGCCGTGTTTGTTTCTATCCTTCTGTTGCCATGGAAATCTATTGCGTTGCCTTTCCTCAACACTTTTAGGCCTTTTGCCAGTTCTCCAGCAGGGTGTTTGTCCATAAAAGTACTCTTGTATGTTATTTTCCCTGGTGAGCATTCAGTGACCTAAACCCGTAGTTTATTATTTCAGGACTTTATAACGTTCTACTCATTAAGAATACATTACACGTATGATTTATGTTGTACGTGTGTGGTTGGTGTTGGTGCGGTGGAGCCTCAGCGGGTTAGCTCGCTGTGTGCGACAAAACTTGAGTTGGAATCCACGGCTCAGCATGGGTTCAGCATGACCACTGTTTACAAATACAATTCCAGTCAATCTACAATGCCTGGTCAGCTGGTCCATGATAATGCATGTTTTAAATTAGTGTTTTTAATCAACATTCAATCTATGTTGTGTAAAAAAGTGCAGTACTAAAGATCAGAGAAAATGATCTTGGATCTCAGTTCCATTACATTTCTCGGGGGGGGGAGGGGCAATGTTTGGTAGGAGGGCAGTGTGGTTTATGCAATTTTTTTTTTGTCTTCAAACTTTGGGTAATACTTTTTTTTAGACAAATTTGGCCAGACGAACAGAGCTGACACATGGACGCTTTTTCAACCTTAGATTCCCTGCGCCCCACATTTGCTGTCGCCCGCGCTCTTAGACCCGTGCCCATCCGATGACGATTCAATCGCTCGAACGCACGCCCGTGTCCCACGTCCCACGTTGCTCGCCTTGCAGACGATCACGGACGTGCTGGCGGCCTCGGAGCCTGCAAGAGGGACACCCGAAGACCTGCGGCAAAGTCTGCTCGCCCACTTCCAAGGGATGCTCTCTGTGGTCGAGATGGAGGAGATGGCCCTGTCCGGTGAGATATGTCGTGGCAGACGAATGTCATGCCAAATGCCTTGGGAAGTTCAACCAGGGAGACATTTGTGAGCCTGCAGCCAACGCCCTTTTTTACATTGGCATGAGCACTCGACCACTACTTTCGCCCACACAGTGACCTTGCTAGTGGCGTAGTGAACGACATCAGCTCAGGGGGGTGCAGCAATCGGGCACGGTGGGGCCCCAATATTTAATTTGTCTTGCACGGTTACACCTAGGCTATGATATATCGCACCTCCTCTTGCCTAATCACATAATTACGTGCGTTTTTGTTCTTTGAGACTGTTGTTGAAAACAAATCTCATGGTGGTTGTCAAGGGGGCCACCAGTGGGGGGTGGGTAAGGCACCCCCTGCCCCCACGGCCGTTACGCTACCGGACCTCACTCTTTCTGACGTTAACCCCGTCTGCTGCTAATAGGACTCAGCAACTACTCCTCCTCTGACCACCCCACCCACCGCCCACTACTCAGGTAGCCCCCCCCCCCCACTTTGCCCGTATCATGGGCCGAGCTTGGAACAGCCTTCATGAAACTGACTGTCCTGGGCAAACCGGGATGTTTGTGGTAGCGTTTTGCTATCTCTTGTCCTCCAAGCTCATTCAGAAGGAGACCCTCCCTGGACATCCAAGTCGAGGATATTTTATATTCTGATGTGTTCTTCAAGAATGTTGTTACAAATGTGCCGTCGGTGTTACGCCGTGCGGCAACGTTAACTCGCGGAGCGGCCCATCGCCCGGACGCGTCGCTCGATAAAGATGATGATGGCCAGTGGACGAGGCTGCTCATGGAATGGTAGCCAAAGGAGAGAACGCATCCAGGAGGGTGACCGCGCCGGGAGATGGAGCGATGGGATCAATTTACGTGCAGGCGTGAAATGGATTGGAGCAGCACTGAACCATGAGGGATAGTGACGTTGTGTGGAGGTCTTTATCCAGCAGTGGATAGACAGCAGCTAATGATGATGATGGATGTATAACTCACTGTGTAAGAGAACAGCCTGTGGAAGGAGATTCAGTATCACAAAACTACTTCTAAAATCACTTAAAGTAACCTCTCAGCCACATTAGTGCTAAACTTTCTCACACAACTCTGCTTTAGAGGTAATATTCGAATGACAGTCAAATGACCATTTTCATTTTTTTATTCCGAGAGATGACATTTAGCTCAAATTAAGTAGAAACCCAATATCAGTAGCTGTTTTAACGCAGCCAATACCGAGACCATCACCTCGCTGCCACTTGAGTAGCCGTCTCACGGACGGGATTTGAACCCAACACCTCAGTGGGGTCAGCTCAGCATCTCCGACCCCAAAGGCACCCGGTTCCCTCCCAGAATAATGCGCATTAACTGTGAGAAGTTGCGTAAACAATGGCGTTTTCCCCGTCGCTTCGCGTTGAGCCTCAACAGAACCGTCGTTCGCGTGTCGTTAGCGCCTCACTCTGGCCGTCGGGGTGAGCTCAAGTTTGAAATGTGAAGTCGCTCTGCTGCATTGCAGATGCAAGCTTTCTGCCCTCCAGCGACGCGACGCACACAGTGTCTTCCTACCTCAAGGAAGGTCAGTGACGCGTTGGGCGGTAACATCGTGGAGCAGTGGCGCATTGGTTAGCGCGCTGCCCTTGTGAACCCTCGCGACCCGAATTCGATTTGCCAGCCATGGCTAACATTGGCCGCGGGTGACGCCTGGACCGGTCCGTGGGTCCTTACTTCACCAACCGTCCGCACTGTGGTCACACAACCCCAGTGACTGACAACAGCATGGGGAGGCCTTAATCCAGGAGTGGATTGGCAAAGGGCTGTAGGTTTAAATTTCAGTGTTTTATAACATCTTTCAGAGGTCGCGTATCCCGTTACAAAAGTGACCTGTGCAATGCACAGTAATTCACGGTCGTAAACTGTACTATATATATTTCCTCTTAAGTCATAGTTAGCTACGTTGTAATGAAACCACAGGCAAATTTATATACTGGTCGTAGGGCACTCTGTCTGGGGGAATTGCTTATAAATATTGCCCGTCACGATCCACCAATTTAAACAAAAACATTCCGGGACGCCCTGCGCGTGGCTACCGTACGTGCTGCAGTTGAATTGCAAGTAGCTCAGGTGCCATTGGCAATGCGGAGAGGGGACGCATCTACAGAGGGCACGGTGGCCAGTGGGGGTCCCCGCAATACGATGACAACACCTCCACCGCCATACAGAGCAACGATCGATTTGACACGTAGGCTTTCGCGACCACGATTATATTCATGATAAAGGTTTTTTTAGGGGTTATATCACGTAAGTATAAATGTGTCGTTGACCCGCCACGACCCGACACAGCCAATTGGTAAGGTTTGTCAAGTAAACAAAACGTGCCAATTAGTTTCTACTTTAGCCCACCGGTGTGTTTATGGCTAAATCATCGATTATGGTGGATGTAATTATCAGCGAAACGTCACAGTTCTCAAGTTATAAATGTTATGGGTATTCTGTCCAATACACAAGTGGGCTGAAGTAGTAACTAATTGGCACGTTTTGTTTACGTGATAAACCTTACTGGTTAGCTGTATCGGGTGGTGGCGGGTTAACGATTATGTCGTTAAGCAATGTAACCCAAAAACAAATATTTTGCATAGCAACGATATAAGATTCACGGTCATCGTTTGGATTCAAAATATTGTCACATGATTATTGTTGTTTGTGACATTTTTATCGCATATTTAGTTTCTTGACTATATAGTTATGAACTAACAGACTCAATCGTTAACGAATTGAATGAGCGCTTTGCAAACTGTTTTTTTGGAGTAGTTGATGGCGTAGCGGCTACATGACGTCATCATTTTCATAGTTCATTGTTTCTCGGATTTTGTCTAACTGGCAGCCATGTACGTTATCGAATCTATGGTTGCAGTGATTAGAAGACGTGTGTGTTATGGCAGGCTTATGTTGCTGCAGTTGGAGAACTTTTAGTAATATTTTATATGTACCAAAGTTATAGCAAAAGCACAAACGCAAAGCAATAAATGCAAAATTGTGGGAAACTGATATTGTGATAATCATTATATTGTTAGATACCATATCGTACGTAATATAACCCAAAAAAACACAACCTGCATCACGGATGTTAAATTGTGAAACGTGATATCGTGACAGCCCTACTTGGCCAGCGCAATAGTGACAATTGGGGGGAGAGTTTCGAGAAAAACAAGCGCTCTTGTCGGTATAACGCTGCCAGCCCTCCCTGTTGCTCGCCTTTGTGCGGCGCGTGCAGTCTGCCCCAAGTGGGCCAAGCTGTGGCGCAGCCACGCGGACACCAAGCGTCCACTGGCGATCGTCGTGTGCAGCTCCGCACTCAGGGCCCTCGATGTCATGAGGTGGGGTCGGGGTGGCACGCGCCGTGGGCCCATCGTTCGCTCGCCCCGCTCGTCTGTTCGCGTGCGCGGTTTACATCTCGTCCGGATTTCTTTTTGTTTTTGTTCGTCGGAACGATTCGGCACAAACGTGCGGTTCAGAGACGTGGTCGCGAACACGAAGAAGAAGATTTGATGAAAAACTGAAAATCGTAAATGTTGTGGGTTTAATCTCCAGCACACCGGTGTGCTGTACTAGTAACTTAATGCACGTTTTGTTTACGTGACAAACCTTACTAATTGGCTGTGTCAGGTGGTGGCGGGTAACAACACATTTATATTTTTGTGATCTAACCCAAAAAAAACTTTATTACCTACGTGTTAAAAAAACTGAAAAGTGTGCAGAGATGCACGGAGAGATGGACGCTTGAATGGCACTGAAAGACCAAATTAGGAACATGTGGATTAGAGAATATGTGCAGATTCATGCCACCGTCATTCAGAAGTCAGTGAGGTTAGCCAGGACATGATGCTACAATTGTGATTGACGATGGTGAAGAATAGCGACGCAGTTTGCAGACAACGAATTAACATGTCCGGAAGGATGTCCAACCGAGGAGATGGAGTAATGAAATGAGGTCTTGTACGGGTACTACTAATAATGATTTAATTTATAAAGCGCTTTTCATCAAAGATCTCAAAGCACTTTACAGGAGCAGACACTCGGCATACAAATCATTATATTATGAATATATTTAAGAATCCATTTACTCAATGAACTAAAAGTTGAATAAGCGGAAACGTATTATACTCTTGGGTGGTATGTTACATCGCAGGACAATGATAGATGGCAACGGCTTAGGGTAGGGCTTCATCCAGCAGTGGATCGATCATAGCTGATGGTGGTTGAGCCAAACAAAATTGATGAATTGCGAGGACCCATTTACAATCTTAACAATGAGCAGAGGAGTAATCTTTGTTTATATTCCAGTACCTTAGTGTACCCTTGTCAAAGTGGGCATAATCTCTGTATGTGATGTGGATGGAACGGAAACCTGAATGATGCTTTGAATATTTGAAGCCACCTTGCAAAAACCTGGATGGCTAAAGAAATGCATTTCAAGCTGGAAGATCAAAACATTATCGTTGCACTTCCAGCATATTCCTCAACCACTTACAGTTTATTGGTAAACAGTCATTTTGAGTTATTAACGGATAATAATTACAGCGATATGATCGACTGCTGCAGATGATTGCATGATGACAACATAACAGTTAACGGGAATGCTCTTTTGAAACCCGCGCCCCTGTAGTGACAGCATGTGGGTATTTTATCACCTTCTCTTGTGCCGTTTCATTATAGACAAGCGGCCGCTTTCAAAGGAGACTGCAGAGTGGCCAAGCTGTTCTCTAAACACATTAAGGTACCAAGTCAGTCACTGCCGCTTCTCACATCGCTCATAATGCTGGCGTGATTCCATAACGATTCTGCGTCCAACGCAGTGTGTGGTACGCAAAACATAGGTGCAAGAATTGAGGACGGCCGGTGATTTGACGATGATGTTGATTCTTGATGATGATGATATTGTGTTGATGATGATGATGGTGATGATGATTCTGATGCAGGCAATATGGAGTATCTTCACAGTTGAAAGAACATAATGGTGATGTGTGTATGTTGAACTTATTTTGCACTATACGTGTCCATGATGACGATGGGCATATGTGATGATGATGACGATGGTGATTGTGGTTATCATGATCGCTGATGATCCTGACGATGAATACGATTGCAGTCGTAATAGTGGTAGTTGTGGTGTTGTATTGTGTTGGCTGACCAGTGACAAGAATCTGCTCAGTATGATAGGATTACTCGCAGGAAGAAGAACAGATCAGTGTTCATGGTGGTCATGGTGTCACGCTTGAAATATAAGACAATTTGTATTTATAAAGCAGCCAAACGTGGCTACCTCTTCAGAAGTTGCACAAATGGGGAAGCGTGCACATCTCGAGCAGAGGATGCCGGCTTCGAATTCTCAAGGCGACAGAGGCAATTGCGACGACGTTACGGTCGAAGTGATAGAGAGACGGCAACAGGCAGAGGATGAGAGAGCTACTTGTTCAAGCGGTGGCTGGAACGACGTGTAAGGAAAATTCATTCCCGACCCATCAAATTGGTTTGCAGCTAAGAAAAAAATTACTTCAAATTACGCAATTAATATATTTCTTTGTTCATTCTTGGACCGAGACGACACAAGGGAAGTAGGTGACGTGATGGAGACAGAGTGAGATGTGCAGAACGGGACAAATCGAAGACAAAAAAATGGCGGTACCGACGACGAAGTACAAAAGGGGAGACAATACACGAAAATGATATAAAAGATGTGAATGTGAACAAAAGAAGGTGAAAAATTGGAACGCAGTAGTCGGAAAACATTCAGGACCAGGTACAAATGGTATACTGCACTGTTATACAGAACCAGTAGGCGCACATTAAAGTTCTCTCCACTGCGTTCGCACGAGACGGTGGGTGGGCCACAGTCGGCATTGCCGCAGGCCAACGTGCAACAAGCACATTTTTTTGGTCGATCTATTTTTTAATTGCAATAAAAACATTTAACGAGATAAATGTCTATTATACATTGCCATTGAGTAACAGTATCATAAAATAATGTTTTTTTTTTCATCGTCAGAATTTGAAATCTCATTGACTACAATATAAAGAAAAAAAACATGATTGAATGGAAGGATAAGGTTTTCTCGTTGCATCGTCAGTGGGTCGAGTAGTCTCAGCCGTTGTGTTCACAGGTGGAAGAACATCAATAATGACGATGACGATGATTGCAGCAGTAATGGTGGTCATGCTGTGTTGCCTGCCCTGAGTGGGTGCCGTTTTGTCCTACATCGTGCGTGCTCACGTGGGCGCAGGTGGAGGAACAGATTGCCTTGCTCGCAAAGCAGCCGGTACACCTGGCCGCAGGCACTCCCGGACGCATCAAAAAAATCCTGGACCTCGGTACGTGCCCGCGGCGTACACCCTGGCCGCCCCCCCCCCCCTCCACCTTAATGTCGTCGGCCTCATGGTTGGGGGCCCACGCCGTCAAGAGATTGGCCGACGTCCCGCGGGGCGGACGGATTCGGATGAGGAATTTCAATGGATACCGTGGGTCCTTCCGTTTGGCTATAACGTTGAAAATGCTTTTAGAAGCGTGGGTCACTCTGGAGTTCACCTCAGCCATGCCGAATCATCGGGGAGTTTTTTATATATTTTTTCGTACATATATATTTTATATATAAAAAACCATTGACTCCGATATGTAATCTGGGTTTTTTTTCGCTCTGCTAAAATCAAGCAAACGTTATTCTGCTCCCTTGAACGTAAAAAAAGATACATGTAGTTTATTGTCAGTGCGTTTCTTCTTTGCATGATAACATAAAATAATAAAACTGCTTTAGCTGAATTATACTTTGAGACAACTGTAGCCTTCTGCAATTTATACTTTTCAATTTTCTTTGTAAGTTTGTAATCCACATTTACGCATTTTAAAAATAATATTTTTTCGCGAGGGCTAGCAACTCGGTTACCGCTTATAACAATTCGGCGGGGCTGAGCACGCGACGAGAGAGCGAGCTGCCGTGCTGCATTCACGTATTTTTGGGCCGTTTTGTCGACGAAACAGCGCGCATCATATTCCAAAATCGCTCCAGCAGTGCAAGTTACACCGCTGCGTTAGGTCTTCGCGATTGTCCTTCGACGTTATGCTGCATGCTGTTTAGCACGACGTCCTGTGAGCTTTCTTCAGGGACCGAGGAGCATTGGGGTTAGACGGCATCATCGTCTTCCTGGTCCGAAAAGTGTTATTGTGCGACCGGCAGCATTTGCGTTTTTGATTGTAAAGTTGCCTCTAGTTGCTTGCCCCCCCCCCCCCATTGGCAGGCTTATGTTGAATTAACCGCAGCTGAAGAACGTTTAAGTGGTCTTTGTATTCATACCAGAAAATAAAAAAAAATTAAATGTCAAACTTACGGGAAACTGGTCATCCCGATATTTGTCACGTCGTGATATTTGATATCGTATCGTGACAAATGATCGCACTGCAGCCCTCGTGGCCAGTGACGGTGGCAAATCGGAGCTTGCTCAGGAGGTGAGAGAGCTCCCCCCGGCACTTGGAGTGAAACGTCGGACGTCGTACCGACAACAACAAACACGCGACACGACAACCCGAAAGCACACCGGAGAACCCCCACCGATGACCATTCTTCGGCCTTTGCATTCGTTGTCTTGCGATGCAGATGGCATGACGCTGGACTCCCTCAAGTACCTTGTGCTGGACTGGAACTGGAGAGACCAGAAACTGCGTCGTCTGATTGACATCCCCGAGGTATTCCTCCCGCTGAGCGCACGCAAAGACAAAGATCCCCCCCCTATAGCCTTGCTCAGGCCGTCGGGGCAAGTTTCGTTGGCGAGCACCGATGAAGGCCGGCATGGCACACGAGGGGGCTAGGTGGCCAACTTGATGGCCGGTGGCCTTTGTCTCCCCATTGCTGATGTTTAGACTGAGGCAACCTCGCGGAGGCCTAGGACCGGCTCATATGTTCGTCAGCTATGGTGACTGTGAGCGGGAATCGAACATGGGTCGCCGGATTTGTTCCGCAGCGCGCTAAATACTGCACCGCAGCTCCCCATACACAAAGATCCCCCGTATAGCCTTAACAGACTATAGGAGCAAGTGCCGGCACGGCACACGACGGGGTGGTTGGCCAGCACCACGCCCGACCGCCTTTGTCTTCCTAGTGGCGATGTTTACTACACACCGCACCAGGTACTCATCTGAGGCTGAGTCGACCTAGGGAACCGGTTCAGACAATCGTCACCGGTGTTGGCCGTGAGCTGGAATCGAACTCGGAATTCGTAGCAGCAGTGGAGCGCTAACCGCTCCACCCACTCCCCATGCATCACACGTGAGCACGCGCGCGCGCCATTGCTCATTTGCAAACTATAACTAAATGGCACCATCACCCGCGTGCTGATGAGCGGTGTGTGCGCCCGTATTAGCACCGAGTGCTAAGTCACGTGCCGTACCGTGATCGCTAATGTTGAATTGCTGCCACGGAGGTTTTCGATCCATTGCTATGGTGCCAATACCAAGAGTCTGTAAACACTCCGCTCCGAGTGTGACAAACGTCCTATTTATAAGCACTATTTTTAGTTTTTTTTCTCATAGCAAGCCAAGAGACCCAGAACCACGATGTCTTTACCAGGATAGCGGCTGCCTTGTGTACAATTTATATCCATTGTGATTCTAATTCCCTTTTATACTTTTCCGAGAAGAGCCATGAAGTTGCCCGTGCATGGGTGAAGGTGGAAGTGGAGAATGGCCTTCAGAGGTTATTCTTGGCCCACTCTTCCAGACATCTTGAAAGGGGTGGGACTATAACCCCACTTTACCCCACCACACGCAACATGTCGATCACCATGTCGATCAACATGATCAACATGTCGATCAACATGTCGATCAACATGTATATCAACATGTCGATCAATATGTCTATCAACATGTCGATCAACATGTCGATCAACCGTGGTGCTCAGTTTACACCGCTTGGAGGACAGATGCGGGGGAGTTCAGAGAAGGGGGAGGGAGTGGGGAGATTTGTATGTACGTATGTTGAATTTATTTCGCACCGCACGTAGACAACCGTGTTGATCGAGAGGTTGCGGGGGAAGGACAGCAAACTAAACGCAAGAAGCGGTTCTAAAAAAAAGAGTTTGTCAATCTATATTTAAAATTGCATAGCTCCAGCGGCTTCCTAATGTCAGAAGGAAGAGCGTTCCCGACGACCGCAGAAGCGCATCCGAAAGCGCGCGAGTAGGTGACCTTCTTTGTTCCATGGTTTAGCCACAAGCCACTGCTGCTGCTGCTGCTGCGAGGATAAGGTTTGAGGGGTTGTCGTTGGGTGAGCGATGTTTACTCCCCTCTCTCATCTGAACGGACTTTGCGTGTCGAGGACAGCATGTGGCTTTTACCAAGGCCAAGTCATGTAACAACTAATCGATTCACTCGTTAAAATTCATTTTTACGGCAACGATACTTAAGCAACTTTGCACCATTTCTTCAGCTTCCGCGCCGGGAGATGGAATCGAACCGGCGATCTCTGGATTGCGAGTCCAACGCGCTGCTGACCACTACGCCGCTGTGGCAACATCCCGCTATAATATAGAGGATCTTTAAAGGAATTTTTCAATAAAAACAACTGAAACCCCTTTAAGATTCCTACAGGATTTGTTTTGGTTTCCTCTCGGTTCCTATATAAATAGAATTTCCTAATCGGATATGTTGCTGCGGTGTTTATAAAGCCCGGTCATAGAGAACCCTGCGGTGTCTTCCTTTGACCGGATGAGATTACGTCAGCAGGGCATAATGAGGTCTCTTGTAGCCCAGCCGGTCAGGAGTGTATTTGGAGGCAGGTTAGCGCGTCGTGCCGTTTCAAATTTGTTTTAACTTTGCTGAAGGCTGCGAGTAAACATGGCCGGGCGGCACGGTATAGATTTGTGCAAGAGCCTCCAGCTGAAATGTTTTGAGCAAATATTTAGATTGTTTTGTCGTAAGCCTTATCTACAGTGAGCGGCAAAGTTATCTTTAAAAATGACAGGACATTCAAATAATTAGTAATTGATCAATAAACCCTTAAACGTTGGGCTGCTTCACCAAAAATTAAATCGTTCACGTAATATTTTTGTTAGCCACGTTTCTCAGCAACGTGGTTTGCAAAGGTAAACTCTTGAGACTGCTTTTCGACTTTGTGAGTCTAAAAATAAGAGTATTTTATTCTCCCTGGCATAAATGAACATGGGCCAGTGCCAATTTCCTGTTCTACAACCCTGAGTCAAGATGTGGAAATTCCACAATCATATGATAGGGGATACATCTATACTCAGGACAACCACGATTAAATCCCAACAAAGTATTGTTTAATTTATCAACTCTGGGGCGGGGGATGAATGGCAAAGTCAACCCCTGACCCTGGTTTGAACTCGCAACCTCTTGATTAAACTCCACTTGCTTTAACTTTTAATCGTGTTTTTTTAACCATGCTTTTTCATAAAACTTTAACTTCGCACAAGATGTTTAACCGGTGTGTCACCTGGCCAGAGACATAAAAAGTGCGTAGATTACAGGCTGAGGTGGGGCGGGTGGCTCAAGGGCCGGTGAACTTAGCTGGCACTGCTGAGATCCTGACTTTAAAACCTGGACAGTCGTCCACGATTCAACCAGATTCTGAAGTGGAGCAATTTTGGGACCTTTCTTGCCAGTATCAAAGTATAAGAATAGGTGTTACCCTTTATGCCAATAAAACAGTTTTATTAAAAGTAAAACTTATTCTTATACTGGAGAAATTCTATTTTCTCGGTCCAGTCACCAATGACTGCAACGACAACAACGAACAACTTTTTTTAGTTAAATGTTTACACTTATCTTACTTTATATTTATAGAGTGCCTTTGGCATATTCCAGCTCAGGGGATTTAAACATAATCTGTTTTGATTGACGCTGAGATGAACAATCTTTGTGCGAAATAAGTTCAACATACGACTCAGCCTCAAATGAGTACCTGGTTGCGGTGCGTAAACATCGCCCATTAGAGAGAGACAAAGGCGGCCGGGGGTAGTGCTGGCCACCCACTCCCTCGTGTGCCATTTCGGCCTTCATAGATGCTACTCGCTAACATCACTTGCCCCAACAGTCTGATGAAGGCTATATGGGGGTGGGGGATCTTTTGTCTTTTATTGGGATTCGTTGCACAACGAACCTCGCAGGACGGTGCGTGACGAAGCGGCATAGACTTGCCGCAAGGCCCCCGTCGTCGTTGTCTTTTCGCTGACGTGAGCACGTCCGTCCGTCCGTCCGTTTCTCCTTTTGTTGTCTGTTGAAAAACAATTTGAGTAGCGTTGTCACCCGCAGATTCCAAAGATGACATTGCGGGGGGGGGGGGGGGGGGGTAAAGCATTCTTTTTGAATCAAAAGAGTTTGAAATGGAAAACTTTGCTATCGCAATCTTGATATTCGCAAACATTCTGCCAGCCGCACACGGTGTCAAGCGCGAGCAATGCAAAGCTGTAAATAATAGTGGCCCAGACTTAACAATTATCCGTGCATATTTCTTTGTTTTTTTAACCGCACTTGTTCCGCCGCGTTACCGCGCGCTTGCCGCCTTGTCTCTGTGCGCAGGTTAAGACGGACGTTTTGGAGCTGCTCCAGAAATTCATCATTCCCACGGCGAGAAGGAGCTCGGCTAAAATTGGCCTCTTCTAGTGGACGCAGTGGGTGAGCCACGCTCGGGCTTTCCACAGTCTGTTCCTCTTTCCTTATTTCTCCTGCCGGATATATGCCGAATCGGCAGGGCACCCGATTGTTTTTTGGGAGGCGATTGCCGACCGTTCCACGCCGAGATGTCGTGCAGAGAGGCTGTTTGAGCGAGACGTGATTTGGTGACGCAAAATGTTGCAAGAGGTAAAGAGTGCCGCCCGCAATCACTTAGCTCCTGCAAATGCCCGCGGCCTCCTCCGAGCCGTTTGTGTAATGGTCATTATTTTACTGACGCTGCGTCGCTTTGTCTTAACGTGACGAGCCTGACGATGTGGCCGAATGTTAGAAACAAACTCAACCGCTGCTGTCTTGGTTTGCATGGTAATCGCCTCCAAACCAACAAACCGTGATAAACCAACGATTTCAATGTTTTGTTGTTTTGTTTGTTTGTTTTTGCGTAGGGGTTTTTTTTTCTCTCTGCAGCGAGCGACCGTTGTGCCCGGGGCTTCGCACGCGACGTCTTCCGCGGTGGGGGGCGGGGGGGGGGGGCAAGCTCTCCGTTGGCCAGCGGACCTCGAGCGCCACGAAGCCCATCGCAGCCTCCTCCGTCCACAAAAATAAATAAGCAACAATAAAAATCGCTGACAAAGAGCCGAGCGCCCGCGAGCAGTTCCACACATTTCAGACGCACGTTGCAGACAGTTTAAAGGCGTGGGTGACCGTTGGTGTGGTCACGAAGTGGCCGCTTTGTTACGTGGACGTTTGTACGTCAAACGATCAGGACTGTAATCGAGATGTCAGTGATGTGTTCATCTTTCTTGACAAGGGAGACATTCTTCATGAAATATCACGTATAAGCGGAACTCCATTCTATATCTTGACATAATAAAAATAATAAAAAAAGCATTGTTTGTTGTCCCATCAATATGATCGAGCAGCATTTGCTTAAGCAAATAAACTCTGGACCAATGTAAACATTCTGGGCCTTATCAGCAGTGAGGCCTGGATTACCAGTTTTTATAATACCGCAGTGTCAGGCGTACTCATGCAAAGTGAAATTTTCGTCCACGCTGGGATGTTATTGATGAATTTATTTTAATGCATGTCAGACCACTGACTTATTCCATCCATAAGCCATATTTTGTCCAAAAAAATTATTTCCTCCATATGTATTATTATGGTGAATATGAAATGTTGACTTTGAGGTTGCCGAATATTTTACAACTGCCCAAACTCCATGCTATCGTACGTCGCATTTGGTTGGCTGCATTCACATTCAATTGTGACTCTTCAATTACTACCTAACATAAAATAAGGCAATTGTTACTCTTTGGTTCTTTCGGTAAAGTCACGTAGGTATAAATTAAATCACGACGTTTCTGGCGCAACACAAGCGTCCGTCATCAGGTGGGACAACCACAGCAAGAAACAATTGCTCCAGCAATTGCTGAAACGTCGTGATTTAATTCATTTTATTTTCTACCTACGTGACTTTACCGAAAGAACCAAAGAGTATGGATCCCTGCAGTCACGAAAACTTCAAATCAAGGCAATTGTTATTCAATGCATTAATTGAGGTGAACATACCCATGCGCACACCTAAGTTTAATGAATGCCATTACCTTGAATACAGGTATTAATTAGATTTCAAGAAGGACTAATTTTCCACAATGGGTGAAAAGTAAGAGGAAAGCGGCTTTAACTTTTTTTAGGCAGGTTTGAACCCACAATCTTCATGGAGATGTCGTGTTATTAGAATCTCGCCATACACAACAACAAAAAACACATCCGGGTCAAAGCTTGGCATTTATAGCCAATTTATGTAACGCAACGTTTCGTTGCGCCTGTATTTATTTCGGTGACGATATGCGACAAAAAACATCTGTTCAAAGTTAACGAAATTTTTAATCCGCAAACAGTCGCCCCCCCCCCCCCAAGTGCCGGATTACATATGTAGTAGCTACTATAGCTACTAAAGTAGCGCTAAATACTTTCAAGCTATCAATTCCGATTCAGTGATTCTGCACTTGCTCTATTACGATAGTACTATACTGCCTTCAACTTTTACGAACGACTGGGTGTTTAAGGTTAGCGATTTGTCGTATTATCTGGCTGCATGGCAAATGAAAAAAATATTACTTTACTATGCAAGGTAAACATTTGTGTTTTAATATTTACGTGTTTTTTAAATATTTAGGGCCCCTTTATAACATCATGCTACAGGCCTCGCACGAGCTTCATCCGGCACTGCCCTCCCCCCACCTTGTAACACGCTGCTGATGGGCAGCAGAGAGCCGCTCTGCGCAAGCGCCGCTGTGGCTCTTTGCGGGCGAATGCCACCGACCGGGATAGCCGCGACAGTGGCAGCAACACGAGCGTCGCCGTCCCTGCAGCAGCGGCAGCAGCAGTGACTAGAGCCCTTCCACGCGCCCTTCCTTTCCCCACGCTGATCACCGCACAGCTGAGCAGCACTCCCAGGTGGAGGAGGGTGGGGGGGGAGTGACACCGGCTCTCGTCGTCGGCTCAGGCCGTGGTGTCAAAATTAGCGAGGTCGTCCTCGCTAAAAAAAATAAACCCCCCCCACCCCTGCAGCCCCCCGTCGCACGTTACCCGTCAACTCCGAACGGAGTTTGGAATCCAAAACACGACCGTACTCGCGTGCTCATCAATCACTCTCGTGTGTGACGCGCCACGTTCGTAACCCACGTGCGTGTGTGCGTGCGTGTGCGTAAGTGCGTGTGTATGTGTGTGTGCGTGCGTGCGTGCACCTGGGAGGCGGTGGTGCCAACCTTGCGACCCAAGTTCGATTCCCGCTCACGGTCAACATATGTGAAGATTAACTGAACCGGATCCTGGACCTCCCCTAGGTAGGCTCAGCCTAAAAAAATATACCTAGTGGGAGTTGTTTGACCACGCTTCACCGCGCTGGTGAGTGCGGGTTGGTCACGGTGGTTGGGGGGGGGGGGGGAGACCCAGCACCGGTGAAGATATCACTCGACGCTGACGGGAGCCGTGGCCAGGAATCGAACGCGGGTTGCCGTCGGCTGACAGCGCAGTGACCACTGCTTACCGCTCCACCACCTCCCCCCCCCACATTGTTCCGTATTTTCATTGGTAAAGTCAACATCACCGCACGCGCGGAATATGAAGAGGCAGAATGTAATCAGCCCCGTCGGCCGACGTTCAATTTATTTGTATAGTACGCTGGCAGTGTTATTCAGTTACAGAGGCCGTCCAGTTCAATGTAAACTATATTCTTTGGGGTCTTTCGGTAAAGTCACGTAGATAGGTTAAAAAAATCACGAAGGTCGCTTGTGTTGCGATCGCAACGTCGGAGCTTTTCGTTTATTTTATTATTCTTTGAACCTACGTGACTTTGCCGAAAGACCCAATAGATATGAATTCCTGCAGTCCACGAAGGCTTTAAAGTCAAAATTTAAATGTAACTTGTTTGGCATATTTTTTGCGGAGGATGGCAGGGGGTGGGGGGTGCCGCGAACGAACCCGTTGGACGTGACAATCGGTATCGCAAGAAAAGTGATCTCGGCGCAGACTTTCGTTGCTCCAGTTTACGATGCGACAGAAGGAAAGTGTCCCTCCCCCCCCCCGTGCACATTGGCAATAAAGTGGGCCGAAAGGGAGCCAGGGTGAGTTACATGTGCTGTTTGGAATTTCCTGCTTTGTCCGAATTGGTTTGGTATGCTTAGAGTTCGGCTCTTGGAAACCGAAAAAATAATATTGGGAGTAACACTGATAGCTTTTTTTCTTTATTTCTTTCACAAAACAGTTAAATTAAATCTGAATACAAACAGAGAGGTCCCTGGGTATGCGAAAACAGAATGTACTTCACGTATAATTCTGTGTTTAAAATTGCTCAACTGTTACGTACAACAGGAATTTAGATTTTTTCGTGATGTTTTTTTTCTCAGACATCCGTAGCAACGTTGCCGCACGTGTTGGTGACAGATGCGGCTAGATTCTTTGTAGTCTCTCACGAGTATTGTAGCAAGCGGTGGGGGGGGGGGGGGGGTATTAATGTGGAGGGACCACCCTTATATAAAGCTTTAGAATGCTTGACTTGAACGGAGTTTAAAAAGGAACGCCCAGCAGAGCTATTACAGAACCTTGCCGACCAATGAAAGTTTCTAAAAATAGCCATCTTAAAGGTGTTTGAATATTCAAATACAAAATGTCTTGACAACTGTGCATGTATATGACGGATGAGCGGAGCAGTGGTGTAGAGCTTTGCACACTGCCCTATGAATCCGGCCGCACGAGTTCAATTCCTGACCATGGCTATAGTCAGTGGTAATTACCTGAGCTGTTCCTGGATCTTCGCCGAAGTGGTCAGGCTTTAAATGAGTAACACGGGTGCGATGTGGAAACATGGCTACTGGGGAGACAAAGGCGGCCGGGAGTTGTTTTTATGCAGACACACCCACCCCTTCGCGTGCCGTCTCAACGTTAACAGGAGCTCGCTAACAGCGTTTGCCCCAAAAGTCTGGACAGTAAAAGGACATTCATCTGTATTTGAATGGTGGTCAGATCTTTTGGATAAGTAATCTTGATTTGAAGCTTTCGTGACTGCAGGAATCCATACTCTTTGGTTCTTTCGGTAAAGTCACGTGGATAGAAATAAAAACAAATCACAAGAAATGTTTCTTTGCTGTGGTTTTCCCACCTGATGATGATTGCTTGTGTTGCAATCGAAACGTCGTTATTTGTTTTTATTTTATTTCTAACTACGTGACTTTACCGAAAGAACCAAAGAGCATTTGGATAAGGTTATACCGCGAAAGGTATGCACTAGCTCAGTGTAATTGCATTGTCTTCAGAATATGTAACACCGAACGACAATGTAAACAGTAAGTTGCATGATTTTAAAATGCCAAGAGGAGTGCTGTGGATTTTTTGATGGTGGCCTGATATGTATGTGGAACTTATTTCGCACCGCACGTAGCCAACCGTGCTAATCGAGAGGTGCGGGGGGTGGGGACGACAACAAACGAAACACAAAAAGCAGCTCTAAGGAAACGAGTTTTCAATCCAGATTGAAAAGTGCATAGCTCCAACGGCTTCCTAATGTAGGAAGGAAGAGAGAGGTGCGGGAGGTGACAGTCTCACCATACCGTATTCTCCAGATTATAAGAAACAATTCCCTCCCCCTGTATTTTAAGGGAAAAGTTGGGGCTGCATCTTATAAACCGGTAGGTTTGTGTGCGTGTGTGCGTGTGTGAGACCCGACTGATATAACTATTGACACCAAGCCCACGTTTGGGCTGCATCTTACTTTCCCCAGTGTCCTATAACCCAGGGGTCCCCAACCCCCGGTCCGCGGACCGGTACCGGTCCGTGGCCTGTTAGTAACCGGGCCGCACAGCAGGAGGTGAGAGCGCACGTGGGCCGCATCCATTATTTTATTATTTACCACTTCCGTCCGCGCCTCTTTCCCGCACTGCGCACTTGTCTCAGTCACAGTGTTGGTAAGCCGACAAGCTCTAACCCCTAGTAGCCACAATGAGTAAGCCCACAAGCTCTAACCCCTAGTAGCCACAATGAGTAAGCCCACAAGCTCTAACCCCTAGTAGCCACAATGAGTAAGCCCACAAGCTCTAACCCCTAGTAGCCACAATGAGTAAGCCCACAAGCTCTAACCCCTAGTAGCCACAGTGAGTAAGCCCACAAGCTCTAACCCCCTAGTAGCCACAATGAGTAACAAACAAACGTCGCTGGAGAGCTTCTTTGAAAAGGGGGAAAGACCCAATAATGAACCCCCCCCACCAGGTCCGTGCAAAAATTGTTTTCCACGAAACCGGTCCCTGGTGCCATAAAGGTTGGGGACCGCTGCTATAACCCATAGAATACGATATATATGTATTAGCATTATAGTTTAGATCCAATGG